ATCAATTTAATGTATAACCATTTAAATTCACCCAACACTTAATTTAATTCAGAAAAGCCTAACCACATAAATACCAAAAACAAATAAAATAAATAATGAAAACAATAAAAGGAATATTAAAATTCCAATTATAACCCTTTTAAAACTAGGGGTCTTACAGTAACCAAAACTCAGATCATGACCAAGCACATATATAATATCTTAGCTAAAATCAAGCATTTGACTACAAGAAAATCATGTACTTGTAACAAGAAAAACTATAATTTCATGGAACATTAAATTGGGAAACAAAACTTTAAAAAAGTAACTCCTAAGGCTGCAAGAGTTAAAAGAGAATCCCTACCCAATTGAAGGTAACAACTGGAGGTGGTGAGATTAGATGGTGTGTGGGTAAAATGCCTACATTTTCAGCCTTAATCCGAACCCTTCTTCTTCTTCTTCACTTTCTGTTCTTCTTTCTCTCTGTCAAACAACTCACAGCTGGAAGTTTTCTTTTTGGTTTGGCATGCAACAACTATGAGGGAACTAGTTACAAGTGTAGTGCTAAATAATTAAACGTGTCTCCAAGTTTTGCATATGAATGACACCTAGTTCTAGATCCCCTACATGCTGCCACATGCAAACCCACTAAACCACATTCTATTAATATCTCAATACTCCCTCATTTCCAAAAGTAATCACTCAATGGCCCTACCCATTTTATTTATTTATTTTTATTATTATTTGTTAACAACTAAATTCATCCCATGAGTAAAATAGAAAAATTAAATGAAACTCATGACTATAAATTAAATACTAGATCAAAAAAATTATATACTAGATAATTAAGGAATTATAAATTGCCATGTACAACCGATGCATTTAAATAAATTCCAAGTAATTAGGGATGCAGTAATATTGAAATGCAACACATGAAATAGGTAGAAAGAAATTTAATAAAAAATCATGTAATTCTGGTCCTAAACATAGGGAAGACTTAATTAAATTTAAGGTTGTCACATTCTCCTCCCCTTAAGGAAATTTCGTCCCCGAAATTTAAAGTTCAAACCTGAATCTTTAAAGAGATGCGGAAATCTTGTTCACATATCAGATTCTACCTCCCAGGTTGCCTCCTCTACATCATGGTGTCGCCACAAAACTTTCACCAATGAAATGGTTTTGTTGCGTAAGACCTTCTCCTTCCAATCCAATGCTTGAATGGGTTGTTCAAGGTAGGAGGTGTCCTCCTTCAAAGGCAAGTTGTGCCAATCTACGACATGGGAGGGGTCCGGGTGATACTTTCGTAGCGTAGAGACGTGAAAAACGTCGTGCACATGAGAAAACTAAAGTGGCAAAGCCAATCGGTATGCTTCTTCACCTACCCATTGAATGATCTCAAAGGGACCAATGTACCTTGGAGCCAATTTCCCTTTTTTTCCCAAATCTGAAAATCCCTTTATGTGGCGCAACTTTGAGAAAAACGTGATCTCCCATTTCAAATTCAATGGGTCTCCTTCTCCTATCAGCGTAGCTTTTCCATCGACTTTGAGCCGTGAGTAAACGATCTCTTATAAGCTTGATCTTTTCTGTGGTTTGCTGCACCAAATCTGGTCCAACCAGAACGGATTCTTCCTTCTCAGCCCAATAAATTAGTGATCGACATGGCCTTCCGTAAAGAGCCTTGTATGGAGCCATTCCAATGCTTGCTTGGTAACTATTATTGTATGAAATTTCAGCTAGAGGTAGATGATCACTCCAGCTACCTTCAAGGTCTAAGGCACACGCCCTCAACATGTCTTCTAAAATCTGGATTACTATTTCTGATTGTCGGTCCGTTTGTGGGTGAAATGTCGTGCTAAGATCCAGCTTTGTCCCCAATGCATGTTGTAGTCCCTTCCAAAATCTTGAAGTGAAATGTGGGTCTTTATTAGATACAATTAACAATGGTATGCCGTGAAGACAAACGATTTTTTGAATATAAAGCTCACTCAAGATTTCATATGAATTGGTGGCATGAACGGGAAGAAAATGAGTTGATTTTGTAAGCCTATCCACAATAACCCAAATCGAATCATAACCATTTCGTGTTCTAGGAAATTCGGCCACAAAATCCATCGTTGCAATCTCATTTCCACTTGGGAATGGGAAGGGGATGAAGTAGTCCACCTGGCCATTGGTGTTCTACTTTGACTTTTTGACAAGTGAGGCACTTGGCTACATGGTCCGCTACATCTCTCTTCATGCCCTTCCACCAAAAATGGCGGCGTAAATCTTGATACATCTTTGTGCTCCCTGGATGGATGGTGAACTTAGAGCGATGAACTTCATTCAAGACTTCTCCTTTGATTATAGCATCATTAGGCACCACAAGTCTTTCCTTGAAACGTAGACTTCTATCCGCATAAAAAGACCATTCTGGTATATCATTCCCATTAGAAATCTGCCCTCTTATATTCTCTAATTCAGTGTCACAATGTTGTGCTTCAATAACTTGTTGAAGAAGTGAGGGTCGGGCTACCATAGCGAAAGCATAAACTGCTCTGTTTCTTTCTCCCAGGTGCAGGTTGTAATCTTCAGAACTTCCCATGCTTTCCATGCCTTAATAGAACAATTGTAGCTTGTAGCTTGACGTTTATGGCTTAAAGCAACAGCTACAACATTTGCCTTTCCCGGATGATAGTGTAGTGTGAAGTCATAATCTTCCACATATTCCATCCATCTAAGTTGATGTTGATTCAGCTCCTTTTGAGTGAACAAGTACTTTAAACTTTTGTGGTCAAGTAGACTTCAAATTTTGCACCATACAAGTAACATCTCCAAATTTTAAGTGCAAAAATGATGGCTGCCAGTTCTAAGTCATGAGTTGGATAACGTGTCTCATGTGGCTTGAGTTGGCGTGAGCCATATGCTACGACCCTTCCTTGTTGCATAAGAACGCATCCAAGGCCGTTAGAGGAAGCGTCACTATAGACAACATAGTAATCTTCATTGTTTGGAATAATAAGTACAAGTGCCGACGTCAATTTTTGTTGCAAGCTCCGGAATGCAGCTTCACATTCATCGGTCCATTCAAACTTAACACCCTTCTTAATCAAACGTGTTAAAGGAGCAGTAATTCGAGAAAAATTCTCCACAAAGCGACGATAATAGACTGCCAATCCGAGAAAACTTCGTATTTCTGGGACATTCCTAGGTCTCTCCCAGTTTAGAATAGATTCCACTTTAGATGGGTCAACGGAAATACCCGCCTCTTTAGACACCATATGGCCTAAGAATTTCACCTTAGTCATCCAAAACTCACACTTCTCTCGCTTGGCATACAATTGATGCTCTCGAAGAAGTTGTAAGGTTGTCCTCAAGTGTTGCTCGTGATGCTCTCGAGTTTTCGAGTAGATGAGAATGTCATCAATGAAAACAATTATGAACTGATCAAGATATGGCTGAAAAATGCGGTTCATTAAACCCATGAACGCAGCTGAGGCGTTGGTCAACCCAAAAGGCATGACAAGAAACTCGTAGTGGCCATAACGAGTTCGAAATGCCATCTTTGGTATGTCTTCTTCCTTTACTCGTAGCTGGTGGTAACCCGATCGGAGATCAATTTTGGAGAAGAATGTTGAGCCTTCAAGCTGATCAAATAATTCATTTATTCGTGGCAAAGGGTACTTGTTCTTTACTGTGACTCAGTTGAGTTTCCGATAGTCAATGCACAAACATAAAGAGCCGTCATGTTTTTTGGCGAAGAGCCCCGGAGCACCCCATGGTGACACACTATGCCGGATAAATCCTTTGTCCAACAACTCTTGAAGTTGTTTCTTAAGTTCACATAGCTCAGTTGGTGCCACACGATAAGGAGAGGTAGAGATTGGTGCGGTGCTAGGATACAACTCAATAGAAAAATCAACTTCCCTTTTTGGGGGTAATCCTGGCAGCTCGGCTGGAAAAACATCTTCATAGTCACACACTACCAAAGTAGGGACAACGTGTGAAAAAGAACTTGGTTTCCCACATATGGAAGTAAGAAAACCCACAAAATTACAGCTTTTCCCTGTTAATATGAACAACTTGGAGGGGGAAATAGGTGAAATGTAATGCATATCTCCTTGAAAGCAAAGAACACTCCCATCATCCACTTAAAATGTCACAGTCTTGCGATAACAATCTATAATGGCTTGATGAGAAGACAACCAATCCATTCCAAGGATAATATCAAACTCCGACATGTCAAGTAAAACCAAATCAATTTCCATGGAACAACTCGCTATCGAAAGGATACAAGATTTACAAGCTTTAGTGATCATGGTAGACTCTCCCATGGGAAAAACTAAAGGAAGAGAAAAGTCTAAAGGAATAGATTCTAACCCCAATGATGCAGCAAATGATGTAGAGATAAAAGAATAAGATGATCCCGTATCAAAAAGAATGCGAGCCCATGTATGAAAAACCATAATAATACCTTCAACCACAGCATTGCTGACTTGTCCTTCAGCTTCAGTAGGCGTGATGCAAAACACACGGCCTTGAGGCCTTGGGCTCTGGTCGAACTCCTTCCTCTTGTAAGGCAGGCGAGGCTGATTTGTAGTTGCCACAGATTTAAGACTGTGTTGTCCCGAACCTTGTTGTTGCCCTTGAGACTCATGAGATTGATTAGAAGTTCGGAACTGATTTTGATCACCTCTTGAAGCTGATGTCAAGGATGGACAATTACGTTTGAAATGTCCCCACTTACCACAATGGAAGCAGTCATTAGTACCTCGGTTGTAGTTCTTTTGTGTGCCATTTCCACTTGCAATTGGTTCACTACTGCTCCTATTATTAGAAGGTCGACGATGTTGAGTTTGCTGACCCCGATACTTCGCTTGCCTCTTTTGATTTTCATTATCTTCATATTCCACCAGTAGTGCGCTATCAACAATCTTGGTATACTCCCGTAGACCCAGGGCCACTACCTTCTCTCGTATGGAACGCCTCAATCCCCTCTCAAACCTGCTAGCTTTCATCTCCTCAGTTGCTATCAAACATTATCCGAAACGGCTCAATTCTGAGAATTTGATTTCGTATTGCGAAACTGTCATATCTCGCTGGGAGAGGTTGATGAACTCTTGTAGCTTGGACTCACGAACAACCTGCCGAAAGTATTGGGCATAAAAATGCTCCTCGAAAACTTGCCATGTCATAGTTCCCACGTTGTGCCTTGCTTTAATAATGTCCCACCAATGATCAGCCTCATCAAAAAGTAGCGAAGATGCCATGCACACCTTGAATTCTTCTGGCATACCAACCGTTTCAAATAACTTCTTGACTTTTTTGATCCATCTTTCAGCATCACACACGTCATGGCTAGTGTTCCCATGAAAATTTGGAGGATCCAGCTTTCGAAACTTTGAGAGGAATTCCATCTTTCTTTTTGCAACAGTTGGCTCCCTAGGTTGTTTGGGAACTGTAATTATTTCGGTTAGCCATTCCATAACAGTTGGGAGTCCTCGGAGTGCAAGCAACACCCTGTCAAGTCCTTCTTCATTCATGAGCGAAGAGCTAGAGGGCTTAGTGACTGGCTTTGGCGTTCTTAGCTATCAAATACAACTTAAGTAACTAGTTAGTTAAACAAAATGGTGTACACATATTTATAGAACAAACATATGTGCAAGCATCAAAATATTCAATTAATCAAGTTGCAATTTCGTTTAGCAAACAAGCACATATATGGCAAAGTAAGGTTCATGTGTCATCTAACAAATTCAAATGCAATTTAATTTACATTGCACAACATGTTGTCACAAAATGTCAATTACCCCTTAGCAACTACAGCCTAAGCTCTGATACCAAAAATTGTCACACCCCAAAACCATAGGGTGTGATAATAAGGTTAAAACAAAAAAATAATGGAACAACAATTTTCAACTTAAGAAAAATTTGCGCAGCGGTTACTCAAAAAAACATAGAAAATTCAATTATTATCGAATTGAAGCAAACTAAATTTTTTTAGAAACTAGACTTAGATTACAATGTGACCGAGTCATTCCTGGATGCTAGAAAAACACCAAGGAAAACAGTTTTTGGAAGGAAGAAAACTCTCACAGCTTGTACTGAATTGGAATCAAGTGCAAAACTTTGGCCTGTTTAGTCTTTTAGAGAGCCAATAAAATTTTGGGGCCTTAACCTTTAGAAACTAGACACTTGAAATAATAAAACTGAAAATTTTCATAATTTATTGATTTCGGGAAGGCCGTCAAATTCTTTTCTCAAATTCAGTTTCCAAACTGTGACCAGAAACCAAACAGCAGATGATATAAGATTTTTTAAAAAAAATATCCACCAATTGAAAAATTATAAAAATTTTATGAGAGACTTTATACACAAAGGGGAACATATGGTAAAAATTTCACAGCGTTTGAAGCAATACAACCTTTGATTAAAATTCGTTTCCAAGAAAGTACTAGAGGAAATTTAAAACAGATTTTTTTTTTTTTCTTTAAATAAAACCCTCTAACAGAAAATTCAGAGCTTACCCCCATGAACAACTTATATAATACATAGGCATAACAAAGATCTAAAGAGGCTAAGAATATATACATTGCATAAAGTCATCCATAGAAAGATAATTCCAGTACAAATTTGTACACCTAAAATAAAGAGTCACAGCTTTGATGCCCAATCACTAAGTACATATGCTACCATTAGCGGGCTATACACAAAACATCTAGATACAGTACCCAGTCCTAAAGAACACATAGCAGAGAGCATGTTGTCATCTTCACTCTAGCACAGCAACCACGACCTTAACATGGTTTCATAAGGCATCAAACATGAACAAAATAGTACTTCAGGCTAATATTTTACACAAAAACACCAAGCACAAGATGCTCCACAAAAGGATCCCATCTATTGGAACTCAAGCTCGGGTCTAGCATTGCCGTCCTGAACACCAAGACCTGAAAAATAAAAAGGGTGAGACAATGCCCAATAGGAAAACTTTTAACAAATGCCTCCATGAGGTTTTAGGTACATGATCTGATTTACATGAGAATTTGTTGGCCAAGTTTCTACCAAGACCAATTATAAAATGATGGAATTTAAAAAAAAACAGTAGCTAAAAGAAAATCCTAGTTCCAAAGCCATTTGAGAGTTAAAATGAGTTAGTAAAGAGCTAGTCTTCATTTGGGCCTTTTGTCAAACAACTTTACTTCAATTAGAGTGATCCCAACTATCTCTCCCCCTTTGACTAGTAGGGATTCAACTCCGAATACCCATCTAGGGTCTACCGCTGCGGGTTTATGGTCTTTCACCAACGGGTAGCTCATACCCAATTGCTCACCCCTTTCGCCCGGGACATAACCCTCCTAGTCCCAAAGCTAAGTAATAGAATAATTCAACCCAAACAATTTAAGACAACTCAATTACAACATTCCATAATCTAAGCAGAATTATTTTGGCGTAAAATTGATAATATACATTAGTCTATCAACATGCTAAGTTCTGATTGGAAAACATTTACCCGTGTAGAGTTCTGAAATAAAATCATAAGCAATACTTGTATGCAACCAAAACTCCTATCATGACCAAGCATATGTACAATATCTTAGCTAAAATCAAGCATTTGACTTCAAGAAAATCATGTACTTGTAACAAGAAAAACTATAATTTCATGGAACATTAAATTGGGAAACAAAACTTTAAAAAAATAACTCTCAAGGCTGCAAGAGTTAAAGAGAATCCCTACCCAATTGAAGGTAACAACTGGAGGTGGTGAGATTAGATGGTGTGTGGGTAAAATGCCTACATTTTCAGCCTTAATCCGAACCCTTCTTCTTCTTCTTCTTCACTTTCTGTTCTTCTTTCTCTCTGTAAAACAACCCGCGGCTGAAAGTTTTCTTTTTGGTTTGGCATGCAACAACTATGAGGGAACTAATTACAAGTGTAGTGCTAAATAATTAAACGTGTGTCCAAGTTTTGCATATGAATGACACTTAGCTCTGAATCCTCTACATGATGCCACATGCAAACCCACTAAACCACATTCTATTAATATCTCAATACTCCCTCATTTCCAAAAGTAATCACTCAATGGCCCTACCCATTTTATTTATTTCTTTATTTTTATTATTATTTGTTAACAACTAAATTCATCCCATGAGTAAAATATAAAAATTAAATGAAACCTATGACTATAAATTAAATACTAGATCAAAAAAATTTTATACTAGACAATTAAGAAATTATAAATTGTCATGTACAACCGATGCATTTAAATAAATTCCAAGCAATTAGAGATGTACTAATATTGAAATGCAACACATGAAATAGGTAGAAAGAAATTTAATCAAAAATCATGTAATTCTGGTCCTAGACATAGGGAAGACTTAATTAAATTTAAGGTTGTCACACAATCTCTCAATTATAAAAAACAAAAACTCAAAAAATCTCACAAACAAACTTGGCTCTAAACAGGGACGACCCCATACCATTAAGTGAGGGGGGCAAGAATTGATATTTTTTAATAATTTCAGGAGGGACAATAGTAATATTTTAGGGGTATATAACTGAAAAGAAACAATTTAGTAAGGCATATTTGTAATATATACTTAGGTTCGTCTTGCTCTAAAAGTTGCAAAGAAAATTATATGTAAAAGCAGTAGAAAACCCTAAGTGAGAAAAACATGTTTATATAGAATTTTTTAAGACCTAATTTTTTTAACACTTAGAAAATAAGTTTAATTCATGCATAAAAGTCTCCCCAAAATCTGATAAAAAAAAAAAATAATAAATAAAAAAACCCAATTAAAATATAATTGCAATTATCATATTGGTTCAAGGGAAACACAACCGGTCCAGTTTATGTGCAACGAGTTCCATATGAGCAGACTGGGATGCTACCACCAGCTTGGCTAGGCACATTGCCTGATTCCAAAAACTCCGTCGCTTCTTAATTAGTAATTATTAATTTTTTTTTTTTGTTTTTTTTTGGTGTTCGGTCGAGTTCGATTTTGTTTTGCTTATGCTTCAATATCATGTAGGGCACATACGATGGTTTTGATCCTATGAACTCAATAATGGTTTATGAACACTATAACTCTATTTTCTTTTAATTGACATCAATGTTTTGATCCAAAATTTATTTGAATTTATTTCCCTCTTCAGGATTACAAAAATTTGGATTCCGAAGAGACTATATTTGGGAATGTACAGTAATTTTTTTTTTTTTTTTGTTGTCAAGATTAAATTGTTTTTTGAAATCTAAACTATATGGTTTTAGTTTTTAATAGAACCATGGAAAAAATATACAATTCAGAATTGATAAAGCAGTATCAACTTAAATTGGAACTAGACCGTTTTCAACCGTTCTTAAAAAGTTGGAACTGAAACCCAAATCGTTGAGAGATAAAAGCAGACTGAAAGACAGTTGGATTCAGTTCTGAACTACAATCCTTCTCTCTTTTTTCTATTTTTTTATATTATACTGTGAGAATGATCTTCACTACTACTTCAGCTCCTTTCTTCTTTCCTTCACATGTTGGTATGGGTGCTTTTAGACCCGTCAATGAGCGGATCCTGATCCAGATTCGATTCGAATCCAAATCTGATTAGTCGGATATGGATTGAACAAAAAATTTAATAATCTGATTACGATCTGAATCCGATAATCCGTTAGCTTAACAAATCGGATATGGATTATGCTGATTCGATTCGTTAATAATCCGATCCGATCCGATTAAAATTATATATAAAAATAGAGATGGCAACGGGGGCGGGTTTGGGCGGGTGTACCCTTCCTCGCCTCCGCAACTGTTTAAAAACTCTGTCCCCGTGCCCGCCCAAAACCGCAAAAACAAGAGTACTTTCCACCCCATCCCTGTAACCTTTTAACATTTTTACTTCCGCGGGTACCCCACCCCACCCTGTTTAAGACCATAATTTATTTATTGTTAAAATAGATTTGTTTTTTTTTTTTTTTTTTTTATATTGTTAAATAGGGTACTTAATATATATATTGAGAAATATATATACTAATGAAATAAGGGTATTTAAGTAATTTGCCTATCTAAATGGGGCGGGGTGACCTCCCCCTGCCCCCGCACTAAACCCACGCAGGTTTTTATTACATCAAACCATTCCCGTCTAAATAAGCTAAACTATCTCCCAAAACTGTCAAAAATGGGACGGGGCGTGGCGGGTCAAATTGCCATCTATATATATAAATAATTATAATAATTATTTATCAATAATTATATATATATATCAATAATTCTATTAAAATTGTATTAGAGGTAACCCAAAAATCCAAAAAAAAAAAAAAATCATAATGTTATATATATACAATAGTATGATATTCTTATTCACATGCTAATAAATTTATATATATTAATTATTTATCATTATATTCATTTTATTGCATAGTTATATTATATAACATTTTGTATATAAGCAATTCTCGCTTCATCTAATTTTATAAATATATATATGTTAGTAAATATGATTTTAATCCGAATTCGAATCTGATTAGATTTGAGTGCAAACTAAATAAGATATGGATCGGAATATTCAATTCGAGAACTCGTTAGTGATCCGAATTCGATAATCCGTTTACTTAACAAATCGGATATGAATTTGATCAATCCGATCCGAATCTAATCCATTGACGGGCTTCTTGTAAAAGTGAAATTTTCGGTATCCTTTATTGGTTCCATTTGGTTTTAGTGTACTTCGAATTAGAATCGAAAACTAAGTATTGAGGATGCAAGAGACAGACGCTCAATACAACCCTGCTGCCGATGATTTGCTACAACAGTAGGCACTTTCCAAAAAAATCCCACAAAGATGATGATTTCGGGCCTTCCACGTACACCGATAAAAAAAAAAATCAAGAAAAAAAGAAACAAAGCCAATCAATCACATTGGCCTTTCTGCAAACACTAAAACTGCATACAAGAATGGACTTATCCAAACACGTTTAAAACAATATTAGTCGTGATTGCTCTCCAAACACTGTACGTTTCTCCCTCTACCTCACGCACAAGAACACACAGTTTCTCTCTCTCTCTCTCCCACGCACACATACACACACAGTTTTAGTTTATCTCTCTAGATCTAGATCCACATCATGTACCGCACAGCTGCTCCGTCTGAGCTCCTTGCCATCACTGGAGCTTTCATCACAGATCCAGACATCAGGCTTGCTAAGAAGCAGTGGATATGGCCTGGCCAGAAGTGCATCAAGGTCGACCTAACTCCGGTGAACTACACGTTCGAATTGCAAGCCATGAGCGTCGAGAAGCTTCGGTTCGTCCTCCCGGCGGTCTTCACCATCGGCCCCAAAGTGGAGGATGATGAGAGCATGCTCAAGTATGCCAGGCTCATGTCACCCCATGACAAGCACTCCAACCATGTCACAGAGCTCGTCCTGGGTGTGATCGAGGGCGAGACTCGTGTCCTCGCCGCCTCCATGACCATGGAAGAGATCTTCCGCGGTTCCGAATCATTCAAGCAACAGGTTTTCGATAAAGTTCAGCCTGAACTCGAACAGTTTGGCCTTCGCATCTATAACGCCAATGTCAAACAACTTGTGGACGTCCCAGGCCAAGAGTACTTCTCCTATCTAGGCCAAAAAACCCAGATGGAGGCAGCTAATCAAGCCAAGGCCAGTATATATATATTCTGTTTTTGTTAGGGTTACTTAATTTATGTTGATGTAGTATATTGATTATTTATGTTCTTTGATTTAATTATGGTTTTATTGGAGTTTCTAAACTTATTGATGATGATCTATTACAAAATAAGATGATAATTATGTGTTTTAGTTTTATCTTTGAAGTGAATATCTAGCTTTGCATCAAACAGAACATTATGCACATTATGTTTTTAATATCAATATCATTGTTGGAATTGTCTATAGATTGATGCAGAGGAGGCGAAGAAGAAGGGTGAGATTGGTGTGAAGGAACGACTAGGGCTGACAGCACAGAATGTGGCTAAGATTGACTCTGAGACGAAGATTATATCGACCCAGAGGGAAGGAGAGGGTAAGAAGGAGGAAGTCAGGGTGAGGAGTGATGTGCAGATATTTCAGAACCAAAAGGAGGCTGATGTGGTTGAGGCCAATGCCAAGTTGGCGGCGATGAAGGCAGATTGGGGTCAGAATGCGCAGTTGGCAAAGGTGGAGGCGGACAAGGCAGTGGCTTTAAGGGAGGCTGAGTTGCAGAAAGAGTTGGAGCAGAAGAATGCTTTGACTCGGACCGAGAGACTCAAGGCTGAGTTGCTGAGTAAGGCCACTGTGGACTATGACATTCAGGTATCTTATATATGCAACCCTTATCAATATATACACACATATATATAGAGAGAGACCTTAATTTATGTGTTGCTCAATATGTAATATTAATATATAGGTGCAAGGAGCAAATTCAGAGCTGTACAAGAAACAGAAAGAGGCAGAAGCAGTTTTCTACGAGCAGCAGAAGCAAGCTGAAGCACAGAAAGCAAATGCAGATGCCATGTTCTATGCAAAGCAGAAGGCTGCAGACGGTGAACTCTATACAAAGCAGAAGGAAGCTGAAGGAATCACTGCAATAGCAAAAGGTCAAGGCGTTTACTTGAGTACCCTTCTCAAAGAACTCAACGGAAACTATGAAGCAATCAGAGATTATATGATGATCAATGCGAATATGTTCCAAGAAATTGCCAAGATTAATGCTGAAGGCGTGCGTGGACTGCAGCTCAAGATTAGCATTTGGTCCGGGGCCAATGGCAACAACGAGTTGTTCCAGACAGTTCAAGAGCAGACTGCGATTCTACCACCGGCACTGGGGATGACAACGGGGGCGGGTTTGGGCGGGTGTACCCTCCCCCGCCTCCGCAACCGTTTAAAAATCCCGCCCTCATCCCCATCCAAAACTGCAAAAAGGGGAGAATTTTCTACCCTATTTTCGTAACCGTTTAACATTTTACCCCAACGGGTACTCACCCCGCCCATTTAAGACCACAATTTATTTATTGTTGAAATAGATTTGCTCTTTTTTTTTTTTTTTTTTTTTCCTCATCTTCAATTCTTCACCACCATTGCAACTTTCCTTTTAACAAATTCATTTATTACTTTAATATTGTTATATGGGGGTAATTAATATATAGTGATAAATATATATACTAATGAAATAAGGGTATTTATATAATTTGTATATCTAAAAGGGGCGGTGCGGGGCGACCTCCCCCGCCCCCGCACTAAACCCGCGCAGATTTTTATTACATCAAACCATTCCCGCCCAAATAAGCAAAACGGTCCCTCAAAATCGTCTAAAACGAGACGGGGCAGATAACCACGAGGTGAGTCAAATTGCCATCCCTAACCAACACATTTCGTGATTCCAAAAACTCCACCTCTTCTTGATTACTAATTGTTGTCGTTGTTTTTACTTTCTTTGCCTTTTTTTTTTTAGAGCTTTAATATAATGTAGAGCACATATGAAGGTTAATTTTGATCATATGAACTCAATGATGATATATGAACACTATAATTAGACGTGATGAACAATGTTTTGTGCAAAAAATTATTTGAATTTATTTTCCTCTGTTTTCTCACAAACAAATTGAGGGTTACAGAAATTTGGATTCATATAGAAATTCAAATTTGTTAATTTTCTGAAGAGACTATATATATTGGGGATTATACAGTAAAAAAATGTTTTGTCAAGATTAATTTGTTTTTTGAAATCTAAATTAAAAGTTTATAGTTTTTAATGGAACCAGGGAAAAAAGAATTCAGAATTGGTACAGAGTATTATCGACCTAACATGTTGGGGGTATGCATCCATAAACTGCTACTTGAGAAACCAGCAAACAAAATTTAGTTTAGGCTTGAATGCTTGATTGATTATGATTTCTTGAATATTTATTTAATAATGGAATTTCTAAGAATCAAATACTTTTATCTTTTTACATTCATATTTTCAGCAAGTTTTATTTATTTTATTTATTGATGGTTTCTGTACAATTATATATTTTGGTGCAATATGATATTTTTTGTTTATGAAATTACTCGTGTCTGTTCAGGGCTCAATTGTCTTTTGGATTCTGCATTGTTCTTCTTCTTCCTCAATTATTTCTCATCCTTGATGCTTAGGCAAGTCTATATTTTATATCTTATTCAGATAAAAGTGTCTTTAGAAGCTTTTTCAAGTGTAAATATCCATGATATGTGATTATGAAAACCTTGCGAGGGTTGTTACATTCAGAGACCATAAAGAAAAAGTGTTATTTTTGAAAGTATCCATGGAGGTTATTATGATCTAAGAAGCACAGAAACTTTTACGAAGGCAACGTGTTAGACACCGACACTTCATGAACACTCTTGGACATGTGTCCGATACTTCATGACTGTGTTCATAATTTAAAAATAATTTAAATTTTTCAAACACTTTGTCAACACATCTTGAACAATTGGTCACTACATTTCAGACACTTGACCAACACGCACATCATGTTTTTTTCACTTACCCGTGATGTTACTGCGAGTTCTTTTAATTCTAAGGAGACGAAGGCTTTAAAACTGAAGGATGACAAAAATACAAGACTCGGAAGAACAGGTAAAATGGCGTGTTTGATCTTAGTTTAAAGAAGGCCTCGTCAGTGTTTGGCTTGGTTTTGATTTTGTTATTGTGGAAGTGTGAAGTATAGGTACATGTCAACACTTTTGTGACTTCGAAGTTTCTATTGTGTAATTTTATTTTATTTATTTAATAATTATTATTATTAATAATATTATTATTATTATTTATAATCAAAATGTTTGGGATTTTAACCTACTAATTCACGAAATCGTGCGAGGCAATTCATATGAATCGGATAAGATTCGAATTATATCTGCGATCGTGACCCAAATAAATTAGTCACACCTATTTTATTGTGTAGAGTTGAGTATGTAAAGAACCATACTAACAGCCTAAGATTTGGGATAGTAGACTTAACATGACCTCTCATTAACAATGAGCAACTTGCTTATACACTTGCACAGTTGCACTCTTTGGCAGTGGTATCAACGGAACAAACCTTTTGTGTATCCTTGCGATTTTGTAAGTTACAGTTTTTATGGTGTTGGCTATTATGAAAAGTAGCTGTTTAGAAATTTTTACTATGGCGGTGGTTGCTTTCTCAAGCAGTAGTAAAATGAATCAAAAATAGACAAAATGGGTAATAAGAAAGATTTGAGACTTTTGAGTGACTATATATATATATATATATATTATATTGACATAAAAGAAGTAGATGAGAGTCTCAATCCGGAATATAAACCATAAAAGAAAATGCCTATTAAAATAATCACACGTGAGAGTCGGTCAAGAATTAATCAATGAAATTTAAACAAAATTAAAATATATATATATATATATATATATATTATCATTTGGTTCTTCACATAAGGAGCTTTTTGTCACTTTCTTCCTCCTGATTACTTTTTCACTTGTCACGGTGTGACCGTGCGAATACATTTTATTTTATTTATTATTTTTTTTTTTATGGTAAAACAAATACACATATATTTTTTTTGCTTACGTCGGGACTCAAACCCCTCCCCTCTTCTTTAAAGATGGGGAGATTGACCGAAAGGCTCTTTGATACATTCAATGTTCTCTAAATTCTAGGAAGTTGTAGAAAAAATTCATTCAATGCACATTAATCTTTATATTTTTCTTTAGAAATTGTGTTGCCAAATTTGTAACTTTGGGTCTATCCAATATTCTTCAACCACATGTGTTTAAGTGGATGAAAAAAGTATTCTGTTTGGTTAATTTCACTTACATCGCTTTAAGTTTGGCCAAATATCATTTCCTTTACCTTTTTAAGGTAAATGTGCAAAATGACAATTTTATCCCTATTTTTTTAAATCTATTTTAATCTAAAATATCAAAATCCTCAAATAACCAAATTACCCTCATTTATTACTCTGTCACTCCCAAAACTTTTCATCTCATCATTTTGCTGCGAGTTTGCAGTATCTCTCAATACACACACACATATATAATATATAGATTTAGCAAACACAATAATCATCTGAAATCACGAATTTCGATTTTAGACGATGTAAGCGCCGTCATAAATCCCTTTATTTCTTCTACATATCATCTTCTCGAGAATCCCTGTATACACAAATTTTGTAATCCGCAAATAAGAAACAAAATTAGGAGTAAATAGAATATTTTATTAATTTATAAAGATGGGAGTACAATCCTCTGTAATAATATTCCAAGGAATAAAGTCCTCTGATTCGATCTCCTTTTTGTTGGTTGGATCCAAGGGCTTCACAAGTTTGATCTTGAATCACCGTGAAATTTGGATAAAGAACGGCACGATTTGATGTGTTTTTGTTGATCACCGTGGAATTTGATGAAGAATAACACAACTTGATGTGCTTGGTATTTTTCGCTTTCATTGTTGAATTTGGTGAATAACGGCACGGCTTTGGATGTGCTTGGTGTTTTTCGCCTTCAGGTTTGCCCTCTGGATTTCTAATTCTCTGGATTTGACCTTCTGAATTTCTAAGTCTCAGGATTTCTGGATTCTAAATTTGTGTCCCATCCTTCTTCCTCCAGGCCTTTATTTATAGGCTTCTTGGATCAATAGGATGATGACACGTGTCATTTCCTGATAGGGATAAAATCATAATGACACGTGTCATTTCCTGATAGGGATAAAATCATAACTGGGCCGGGCTGGGTATATTATGATAATTTTCCTTAAAAACAATTATTTCAAATATATTTTATTAGGAATAATTATTTTTTTATTTAACCATTTGGGTTGGGCTAATTAAATAATTTAAGTGAAAGTTTGAGCTAATTAAATAACTTAATTAAACATTGACCCATATTTAATGGGTCTATTTGTCAAAACCAAAGCACACAGTGTTTACAACCCCAATTGATCAAACTTGAAGCCTTATATATATATATTATAGGCTTCAAGTTTGATCAATTGGGGTTTACATATATATATATATATATATATATATATTAGGTTGTAATGAGACTTTCCGATTGGGTCTCGGTTGGATCATAACATAACTTTAGTTTTGGTTAGACTTCAATTTACCCAGCAAAGAGCTTTGGTTTTGTTTGTCTCAATGATTTGGGTGTGTTGAAGTTTACGGATTTTGGGTCTCACTGATTTGGGTCTGTTGAAGTCATCAATTTGGGAATGTTGAAATTCACTGATTTTGGGTTTGTTGAAGCTTACAGATTTTGGTTTTAACTGAGGCTCCTCTCTTGCCGACGTAATGCTCCCTTCTCGCTTTCACCACCGCCACAACAGAGGTCTCATCGACGGCGGCGACTACGTCCTCACTTTCTCCTCATTGATTTTGGTTGCTGCCGGCAGTTGCAGCTTCTTTGCTGATAGCAATGAAGAAGAAGAAAAGAAAAGAAACTAAAATAAAAAACGCAAATGAAAAAAGCTATGACCGACAGTTGCAGCTTCTTTGTCGACAGCAAAGAAGAAGAAGAAAATAAAATAAAATAAAAAGAAAAGAAAAGAAAAGAAAAAAAGAGAAAGATATATGTATGGAAATAAGGAGAAAGCTTGTTGGTGTACATGATAAGAAATATATATATATATATATATATATATATATAAGTAATTATGTACACCAACCAAATTATAATTATAAATTTATAATTACTTATATATATATATATATTTCTCATTTATACATATATATATAAAGCATAATTTTAAATTTATATAATGAAGGTAAAAGGCTATTCAAGTCATTTCAATTATTTTTTAAATCATTAGATAGTTAGAAGGGTAGCAATGTCATTTTGCATGCAAAAAAGTATCTAAAAGACTTGAAATGTAACTTTTGGGGTGTAACTGAAAAACGGATCAAGAGTTTGTAATGCGAATGATAATTATTTTTGAAAAATATTTTAATATGATATTTGGCCTAACTTAAGGGGGTGTTAGTGAAATTAACTTTATTTTATTGCTACAAGATAAGACGTCGGACCTCATAGTTTCCAACCAAAAAAAAAAAAAAAA